AAAGTGTCCACTTTCTACAGACATGCACTTCGTTACCTGTATCAGGTAACATCTCTTACCCCAAACATCTCTTATATCAAGTCAGAGGCAACTTACTTTTAAAAAGTGGAGATAAAATGTTTGATAGCACTATAACATACTTACAGAGAGTATAACAGTTTATGGGGACTGCAGTGTTGCTTACAGAAATTTACCTCTATTGAATAGGGACTTCTATCAAACAGAAAATGATTCATAGAGAACTGAACTGCACAAATCTTCCCAAAAGCAAAGGTAACAAAACCCAAATAAGAAAATATTTCTTAAGAATAAAATATGAGAGCATAATATAAAAATTAATATAAATAGAATATAAGGATACAATGTTAAATTCCACTTTTCTGACACTCAAAGTGCATCACTTCTTTGCCACGTTTTCCATTTCACATCATCAAACATGCTGTGGAACAATGACCAAACCCTACAAGCCGCAGGTAAGTTCTTACACCTGGAAAATAAAGTAGATCACGTTGGGTAAGAAAAAACTATTGCGGGTCTTAATTTTACACACACACAAAATTTTTTAATGAAATGTACAATATTATGGGCACCTGGGTGGCTTAGGTGGTTAAGCATTCAACTCATGATTTTGGCTCAGGTCATGATCTCATGGTCGTGAGAATGAACCCTTCTTTGGGTTCTGTGCTAGGTGTGGAGCCTGCTTTGGATTCTCTCTCTGTCTCTCTCTCTCTCTCTCTCTCTCTCTGTCTCTCTCTCCCTGCCTTGATCTCTTTCCCCCATGGTCTCTATCTCGTCTTCAATAAATAAATACATAAATGGATTAAAATTAAAAAAAATATATATTAGTATTTTGTTGTTAGAAATAGGTAAGTTTTTAGAGCTACTGAGAAAAAGAAATGCCTTTTGTTTGCTTTTGAAGCCTCTAAAAGCAGGTTTTTTTGTTTGGTCCACTGGATCTAAGAAATTTGCCTTTATAGGACTTCATCATCAGACTGCGATGACCTTAGAAGGAAGGGACATGATCTTAGTTTGGCTGTTGTTAAATCTCTCAAAATGTTTTTTGATAAAAATAAATCCTCAGTATACATGTGTAGATTGAATGGAATTGTATTTTAAATGCGTTTTATTTAGTCATATGATTAATAAGAACTTAATTCACATGACCTTGTATGTTATTATTTGTATGACTAGCACAAATATTAATAGTAACTCCAAGTTATATGGGAGACACGCTCTAGTCCTTAACAAGTTATGTAGTAATAGCGTTCATTTTTTAAATGAGGCAATCATCTTTCCCATAAGAACATTCTCAGAATGGCACTGATAACTTAGAGCTTCAGTGCTGGATTTCTTTCCCTTGTACTCGTGGCCTATAGCACCAAATGGAAAAGACACCAGATAATAATTTCCTGTGAGATTTACAAGTAACAACTTCTAGAAGAATTTTATGAATGAATTTTCTGGAGTAGGTAAATAAATATGCCAAAATCTGCACAATCAAGATGCTGAGATTTAATTTCAAGGTCATTTTGTTTCCTGAATAGTTCATGTTCACACACATAAACAACTCAACTGCTTTGACTCACTTAACTGCCAACAACTCCTTTTCCTGGAACTTCGCTTTGACCAGTTCAGCTATTTAACTGAACAAACCTCTTCAGTCAGCCCAGCTGGCTGAACCATATCTGCATGTTGCCCGAGACACAATTCTACAATTCTGTATTTAACGAGACTTCCATACATGATAATATGGCTCTTATGGAGGGGGTATACTTAAAATTTGGAAGAACTATGCATTTGGTTTTTGAAAGCATCCAAAATCATTTATTTGAATACACTATCTGTGTACAGATCGACCTTAGTAACTGTGCTTTTTTTCCCCTCAAATAAAATTATGAAGTAAAAACCTCTTTCAGAATTATATGTAGAAAAGTTGTGCCGAGTAGTGTAGGTAAACTCCACCCAGAGATTGCGGCCTCGCTTGGAATCAGAGGTGGGGTTAAGAGACTGCTGGAAGAGAAAAGGATCATTTATTTGCCTGCATAAACATATATTCATTTGGCGTATTTGTGTGTAGACTGCCCTCTCCCACCCCCACCCCCCAAAGAGGAGATCAAACACAACAGATTGCACGTTGTACAAAAACCGCACACATCCAACTCCATTTTTACCAGCGGTAGGTTAAATTTACTTCGCCTTAATGTGTAACGCATTATCTGATTCATTCCAGTGACTGATCCATTCAAACAGTCTCCGTATCAGATTTATAGGAATAGAGAGGAAATTCTTAGAATGAATCAATTTAAATGCAACGTTTAAGAAAAAGCGACCTTTGTGCAAAATCCGAATTTTATGAATGTGCCTTGTTTTGTGGGAGCAGAAACACCAGTGATCAATATAACGTTAGCATAAGGAGTCACATTGAACATTAAAAGCTTTAACAGGAAGAACGCTTGAAATAATTTAGTGCTGATAAACAGCACTGCAGGCAAGTTTTTGGCAATTTGTGATAAACCACACATTTTCAAAGACTCACAGAAATCCCTCTAAATGTGCATTATACTGGAGTCGTGGTGAGTTCATGGGGGTTCTCAGAAGAGTATTTTCAGAGCCGGACATTTTGCCATGGTTAACAAGAAAGTTGTTTCAGTAAACAGTGGGAAGTCCTACACACTTCAGCAGTGTTCGGATCCTGCATGGTGGCAAACCAAGGCAGGTATCCTCTGCTCGGCCAAACAACATTCCGATTCTTGATCATGGCAAACTATCACGAGAAGCAATGCCACTTAAAAATAAAAATAAATTTTAGTTATAAATAAATAAATAAATAGATAGATACAGAATCTTAACTGCTAGCTGTAATTAAGTTGATTGTGTTGATTAGGTTTTTGCTCACCATTCTTGTTCTCTTGTATTCATGTACTGCAGACACATTTGGAATGCATGGTGGTTTATAAGAAAAATCATTCTTTTCTTTTTTTGAGAGAGAGAGAGAATGACTGGGGAGAATGGTGAGGGGGAGGGAGAGAGAGAGAGAGAGAGAGAGAGAGAGAGAGAGAGAGAGAGGGAGAATCCCAAGCAGCTCAATCTTATGACCTTGGGACCACGACCCCATCCAAAACCAAGAGTCAGACACTCAACTGATTGGGCCACACTAGGCACCCCAAGAGAAGGAAGAGAAGGAGGAAACGCTTCCAGCTCCACACATGCTAAAACTACTTTTCCTCCTTCTCTTCACACACATTTCCAGCACTGGATCCCATGAGGCTCATTCATAATGCATTGCAACCTTGGATAGATACACCTTTATGTTATGTCAACAGGCGTGCGGGTATCATGAACAGTGGGAGCATTCCTGTAAGGTGTTCCCAGCTAGTGCCCAAAAGTGACTGGGTACCATATAAAAATACCACCTTATGCAGAAATTGAGAGTATCCCTAACCCATCTTCCCCTTAACTAGGTCCCCAAAATACCATGACACAACCAAAGACAGAGGGACTTCATAGTGGATTAGGTTAGAGTTGCATTACCGCAACATGGGCAAAATACATTACGTTCGCAAAGAATATAAACATATGACCATGTGAACACATCGCTAGGGCCTTCCCTAGAGAGTTGGAAAAGGTTATGCAAATGAGGGACCCCAAAACTTACTCTTTATTCATTTCACTCTAAACCTGACCAGGAGGCAGAATTCTAAGATGGTCCTTCCAAGAATTCCTGTGGCTCCATGTACACACCTTCTCACAGTTAATTAGCCCACTAACCCAGCTACCACAGTGAAGGGATTTTACAGATGTAGTTAAAATCCTCCATCAGTAGAGCCTGAGATAGGGAAATTATCTGGATGGGCCTGACCTCATGACACGTGTTCTTTAAAAGCAGAGAGTTTTCTCCAGCAGATCATACAAGAGAAAGTCAGAGAGATACGCACTAACTGTCCTGGAAGAAAGTGACGTAGGTTGCAAACTACCAACGGAAGCCATGTGGCAAGGAACCTCAGGCAGCCTCTAGTTGCTGGGAGCTGTCTCTGGCCATCAACTAGAAGGAGAATGGGGTCTCCAACCTGCCACTTCAGTGAAATAAATTCTACTCTGGTCAACATCAGTGATCCTGGAATAGGACCATGAAGCCAGATAAGACTGAAGCCTCCACTTATACCTTAATTTCATCCCAGTCAGACTCTGAATGGAGAATCCAGTCACACTGTGCCCAAATTTACAGAAACAGTGAAGTAATAAATTTGTATTATTTTGTGGTGCCAGATTTGTGGCAATTTGTCATGCAACAATAGAAAGCTATTAACATGCATTTCTTGGTAGGAGTTACATAGGAGGTAGATTATAAATTGGAGGTGCCCCAAGTCATAGACACAAAACTAGAGAGGCAGAACACATAGCAAAATAAGACAAAGGGGGGTTTATTCACTACAAGGACATTTGGTCTATGGAACACTGACCTGATGGACCCGAAAGGGGACGCAGGGGAAGCAGAGGACTGGAATCACCTTCCCAGAGACGTGAGAGCAGCTGAAAGTGGACATCTGAGGGGTGCAAGAATAATGAACAAGTCAAAAGGAAGTGTTCTTTCTAAGGGACATTTCATGGCGACAGGGAAGAATACTGACTGTGCTTCCAGGGTTGAGATGGGACCAGCACAGAGAGATGTGAGGAGCCATTTGAACCAGGAAAGAACTGTTCTTAGACAAGGATGCTCTAGGAGTCAGCTAACTTTAATCACATCCCCGAACTGAGAGTGTAAAAGAACTATGAGTGGGGCGCCTGGGTGGCTCAGTCAGTTAGGCAGTCAACTTGGGCTCAGGTCATGACCTCGCAGTTCGTGGGTTCGAGCCTGTGTCACGCTCTGTGCTGCCGGCTCAGAACCTGGAGGCTGCTTCGGATTCTGTGTCTCCCTCTGTCTCTGCCCCTCCCCCGATCCTGCTCTGTCTCTCTCTGTCTCTCAAAAATAAACAAACATTAAAAAAAAAAAACCACGAGGAAAATATTAATGGTGATCACATGTAACTGTAAATGTCTGAAAGAGAAGGACGTGCTGAGGGACCAGAGGTGTCATCAGGGAAACAAAGTGGCCTTGGCTTTGATGATTTCTCCAAGGTTCGGGCCCTGAAACTCTTTCATCTTGGAAGCTTAATTTGTTGATCAGATGAAGAGGAAGTGTACCTTCTGGAAGGAGCAGAAGAGGGATATACCAGCAATCAAAGTCTCTGGAAACACATTACGCAAGAAGGCAAATTTTATAATGAGAAATATAATGCCAGGATCCCTGGGATATATCTGTTGTGCAGCCAGCACCCTTCTCTTCCTCTTCTCTTCTGCTTACAAACTGTAAAGGAAAGGTGCCTTGTTAGCTTGGAAATAGTGCAAAGGAGGCCGGTTTAATAGCATCAGACCGTAATGGCTACGTAGGACCATCTTCCCATCCAGGGTACACCTGACACCCCACCTGGAGTCATACATTTGTGTCTCAAATAGCTCTCATGCTATATTTTCTGGCAAGACAGATAACGTGCTGGCATTGAATATCCCTCCAATATGATGTACTTCCTCATAGAGGACATAGGAGCCCCCCGTAGCCTCCTTTATGCTGTATTGAGTGCTGGCCATGTCATGTCTTATATATTTTTTAGTTTTTTTCTTTATTTATTTTTCAAGGGAGGGGCAGAGAAGGAGGGAGAGAGAGAATCCTGCTCTGCGCTGTCAGCACAAGGGGCTTGAACCCACGAACTATGAGATCATGACCTGAACTGAAGGCAAGAGTCAGACATTTAACCGACTGAGCCAGCCAGAGGCCCCCTGTGATGTCTTGCTGATTGGATTTGTGGAGTTGTCCCTTGAGAGCTTGCTTTTGGTCTTGTGGCCGAGTCAGAGTGAAAAGTAGCCAGGCGAGTAAGATCCATGTTTGCTTTTGCCATAGATGTGTGGCCGAGAATGTCATACGTTGCATCAACACGGTCTACGTAAAACCTCTCCTGAGTTATCTCTTTTAGATTTAGGAAAGTTCTCTCCATGAAAGAACTGGCAGGACTCCTTGTTTCTAATAATGAGAGTTGTGCCATTTATCATGTTCTTTTTTTTAACCTGGATGCCAAGAATTTCAAAGCTCATTCTGAAACTTAACCATAGTGACAATGTTATCATTCATTAAGGTTAGCTTACTAGGCCTTTCTATTTTTCAATACTCACAATTTTGTATTTCTGTTTTCTTAGCGTTGTTGTATAACAGTATAAGCCACATCAAAGCCTTTAGGTGTATAGATAAGTTCAGTATGCAAATAAGCCTAGATGGGAACATTACTCAGCAATAAAAAAGAAGAAACCTACAACAACGTGGATGAATCCGAAGGGCATTATGTTGAGCCAGAAAAATTGGTCTCAAAAGGTCACATTCTGTCTGCTTCCATTTATGGAACATTCTGGAAATGACAAAACTACGGAGAAAAACGACAGATGAGTGATTGTCAGGGATTAGGGTGGTTGAAGGAAAGTAACGATTGTAACTGCAAAGGGGTAACTTGGGCAAAATCTTTGTGGTCATGGAGTAGTTTTGTATCTTGACTATAGTGGTGCCTACACCAATCTACACGTGATAAAATGACATACACTTTATGCTAACATCACTTTGTTGGTCTTAGAATTATACTGGAACTCCGTAAGATGTAAGTATTGAGCAAATCTGGGTGGAAGGTATAGGGGACCCTCTGTACTATCTTTGCAACTTCCTGTGTATCTACAATTATTTCAAAATAAAAGAAAGGTTTAAAAAAGTCTCCAACTGGGGCGCCTGGGTGGCGCAGTCGGTTAAGCGTCCGACTTCAGCCAGGTCACGATCTTGCGGTCCGTGAGTTCGAGCCCCGCGTCAGGCTCTGGGCTGATGGCTCGGAGCCTGGAGCCTGTTTCCGATTCTGTGTCTCCCTCTCTCTCTGCCCCTCCCCCGTTCATGCTCTGTCTCTCTCTGTCCCAAAAATAAATAAAAACGTTGAAAAAAATTAAAAAAAAAAAGTCTCCAACTTGTACATTTTACATGGGGATTTTATCGTATATAAATTATACCCCAAATAATGTTGATTACAAAAAGTAAGCATCAGTGTCATAAACTAAGTAATGAATTGTTTACACTGACAAGCTTATTGGAGTGATCCCAAGTTGGGTTTCCTAAAAAGAAAAATAACAGGTTCCTGGGGCGCTGGAGTGGCTCAGTCAGTTAAGCATCTGACTTCAGCTCAGGTCACGTTCTCACAGTTTGTGAGTTCGAGCCCCGCTTTGGGTGAGCCCTGCTTTCTCTCTCTCTCTCTCTCTCTCTCTCTCTCTCTCTCTCTCTCTCCATCTTTCCCTTGCTCGTTTGCACACCCCCCAAAAAAAGAAGAAAAAAAGAGGGATGCCTGGGTGGCTCAGTCGGCTGAGCATCTGACTTCGGCTCAGGTCATGATCTCACATTCGTGGGTTTGAGCCCCACATCCGGCTTTGTGCTGACAGCACAGATCCCCTCCTTGGATCCTGTGTCTCCCTCTCTCTCTGCCCCTTCCCTGCTCGTGCTCTGTCTCTCTGTGACTCTCAAAAAATAAAATAAAACGCTTTAAAAAATTTTTTAAAGAAGAAAAAAGGAAGTAACAGACTCCCGGAAATATCGCGCAATTTGGTTGGTCAAACAACCTCACGAAAACACCTAAGAATATTTACACTCAGCCCTAGTGCTGACTGAGTAGAGCGTAAGCGGTTAGTCTGAATCAGATGGGGTTTATCACCAGAATACAGAATGACAGAAGTGCAAATAGAGCAGAAAGGAAAGCTCTCAGAGGGAAAACAAATGTTTTATCTGCCCAGCCAGCAACATCAAGGCCGAGAGCCAAGCAGAAATGCGGGGGGACGCAGGTCATGGGAGACCCACAGACCACGCGGGCATGCATACACCTCTGAACTAAGAGAGGGGCTGTGGGAACCCGGTCCCAGTTCTCACCCCCCTCCAAATACCTACTGTTCCAAAGGCATGAGGCCATAGCACGAAGTCTGTGACTTACCCAGGTCCCAGGGTGGGGGCAGGGGATGTTGCTAATCAGGATTTCATCTACACTGGAGCCATGAAGCCAGCTGAATGAGGAGGCAATACTGATATGTCACGTTTAAGCTACCCCCAACCACCCTCTTCAGATCACTCCTGGCTAATGCGTTTTTAGAGAGAGTGTCTGGAATTTTTGAGGGCCAGGACTATCCCTGCCACTTTAATGGGTCTAAATCACCAGCTTCTGAGAAGCAGGGAAATGATTCTTGCAGAAATTGCTCAGCATACATGAAAATCTATTGGCCTGATTTGATTTCTAAAAATCAGTCTTCTGACCCAAAACCAGGTAGTGCTCAGGGCCCAGAGATTCCCAATAAAAAAATACAGACTCCAGGACTACCACCGCTGGATCTCAGGAGGTGGGGCCTAGGAATCTACATTTTAACAGGCACCACGGTGCTGTGTAAGCTTCAGCTCACTGGTAGAGTGTAGTTGAAAGCAGCAGACGGGTTCAAAAACCTTTTCACCTGTCGTGTCCTATCACCCCCTGTACAAAGCTGTAGATGTCCGGTAGAACAGACCAGGCGGGATCGTTGCTCCCCAGCCCCCACCTTGCAGCATCCAAACATCATGAAATTACGAGAAGGTACATGGATGCCCAGAGAGCAAGGACAGAACCTGAAGCTTCCACCCACAGCATGGAGCTCAGCATTACTAGTTTTTGAAAAATCTTTGAAGCGCACATGGCTCGAAAGAAATTAATAACGTAATTCTAGACGTCCCCATTTGTTTCCGTAGATACATAACACTGCACAAACAATTTGGTTGCAATTTCAAGGCAGTGGGTTCATGGTCACTTGATCAAACTACGGTGGTTTTCGTAAGAAGGGGACGGGCAGATCGCCCTTCGACGTTTTTGCAAGTGTGACAACTTAAAATTGTAAATTAGCCTGCTTGTCATGATATTTTTAGCTGATTCCTTCTACGTCTAAACACATCTTTAGATATTATTCCCATTACGTTCTCCTCATGATCACAGAGGCTTCTTTTTCAACCAACACAATAGCACAGCTCTGAGACAACTCTGAGACCAAAAAAAAAAAAAAAAAAAAGTAAAGAAACAAGTGTAACATTTAGCTCTTGAGAAAAGTCTGTCGTCAGCAAAGACAGTGCCTCTACATTACTGACACCAAATATACTTCCACAAACCCTGGGCTTCTTGGAAGTTTCACCCTCCTTGTCAAACCCCCAGCACCTTCAATTCAGTTATCTAACCTTGGGGGCGAAAGGGAAAGGGGCGGAGTTGTAAATTCAAAGCAAGCAGGGCAAGAAAACTGGAAAATGCTGATGAATCACAGTGTATTCTGAAAGAGTGAGGTCATGCATTTTTTCCCATGAATAGTTAACTCCCTTTTTACTAAGGGCTACATCATCCATTTTATTTGGGATTATTTTGTTTGGGTGTCAGGGATATTTGCTCCTATGACCACCCTCCCCCCCCCATAGAAACCAACATTTAATCTATAAACACAAGACACTGTATCCTTTGAAGCAGGTAGCCGCAGAGCTGCTCAGCTGTTGCCCTTGACCTTAAGAGAACTTTTATTTTTCTCTCCACTTCTCAGCCCAGATTCTATTTTCATGCCAACGTGACATTGCGGCCTTTCTTATGAAGGGTTTGCTAGCTGTGCTGCACTGGCCAAGCTGTAGCAAAACATTTGATATATATTTAAAATATATGATGTGGGAACTGCAAGGAATTAATTGCTTTGCCAAAATACGCTGCTCTTGATAGAGCCAGCAGTTTGATCGAAACCAGATTATGTATGAAGTGTGTATTGTCAATTACGAAACATGAATCGAAGCAAAGTAAAACAAAGTGATTTATTCCACAAAAAATAGGAGGTAGTCATCAGCTTGTATATCCTAAAAATAGGTACCTTAAAGTATCTGTTTATTTCTAGGACTTAAAATGAACCAGTTCAAAATACTTCTGATGACTGGTGTACGTGAATATACCTTTTTGCTTCTTTCATGCTTTTTACTCAATTACTTATTTTTGAGAGAGAAAGAGACAGACTGTGAGCTGGGCAGGGCCAGACAAAGACAGGGAGACGCAGAAGCTGAAGCAGGCTCCAGGCTCTGAGCTGTCAGCACAGAGCCCGATGTGGGGCTCAAACCCACGAACTGTGAGATCATGACCTGAGCCGAAGTCAGATGCCTAACCCACTGAGCCACCCGGGCTCCCCTATTCAATTAATTTTGAAGGGCCAACTGTATGCCAGGCAGCAGTACAAAGATTGAGAAATACTTCCATTATTATTAAATAATCTAAAGAGGAACTTTTTCACTAATATTTGAGAAAATACTGTCCTCCCTGTGGTATATAAATAACATCTAGAAATATGGGTTCAAATGTTTTCGTAGTCTACTGAAGTGAACGATGAAAAGATAACAATTTGAATTTTGAAAATCATTTTCAAAATAAAATAGAAATTCAGGGGCGCCTGGGTGGCTCAGTAGGTTAAGCCTCCGACTCCTGGTTTCGGCTCAGGTCATGATCGCACTATTCATGAGTTCAAGCCTTGCATCCGATCCTGCGCTCACAGCACAGCGAAGCCTGCTTCAGAGCCTCTCTTTCCCTCTCTCTGCCTCTCCCCTGTCCCCAAAAATCATTAAAGGTTACACATTTTTTAATAAAAAAATAAAACAAAAGAGGAATTCATATACTTTTCTGTCATGAAAGCCATTTTTTCAATGTTAAACTAAAAACATCATGACATAATTTTAATGACTTCTAATTAATACTGTTCTGATGTTCTCCACACTCTTATCCAGATTCCCTACACCAGCCTTTTCCGTTCTCGTCTAAGCTGTAGAAGCTTGACTGTTATGAATCTCATCGGTGAGCTACCTTGCTCTCTGGCTTCCTGTGGGCTGGGCTGATGGGAAGCACTGACAGTAGACTGAGTTGGAAGAGGAGAATGTGGCCAGGGTATCTATTTTACCATGACTCCCCTTGCCAAGTGGCCACAGGTTGGCTGCATCACTCTGCCAAAGGCCATAGTGTCCCCAGGCAGTCCTGTCCATACACATTCCCCATGTTCTCCTAACCCATTTCTCTACTCAGGGGAAGAGGTGATAACAACTCCTCAGAGCTCTTTGCCCCTGTGTGATGACCCATCCTTTGTTTGTTTCTTTCAATCCTGTCCACACCGCTTGAAAAAAAAAAAAAGGGAATATCTTTATCAAAAACTCGTCAATTACATCGTTTGAAAGAACCATCTGTTTTTGTCAACATCCTAACATGGCACCTGCATGGACTAATAGAATTAAATTCAAGCAGGCTCCCTACAGAGTTCTAAAAATACATCATAAACTTTGCATCAGCTCAACTTACGTTTTTTGCATTCTCAACAAGCCACCTATATTTCGCAAACCTTAGCTGCATTTATAAGTGAAACGGTTAATGTGTTAAGGAAAATATATTTGTCATTGTTAACATCCTTATAAGGGTCTTAAAAACAGATTGTTTTGCTGTAATTAAAGAAAAAGTTGGGGCTCCTGGGTGGTTCATTCCATTGAGCATCCGACTTCGACATAGGTCATGATCTCGCGGTTCGTGAGTTCGAGCCCCGCATCGGGCTCTGTGCTGACAGCTCGGAGCCTGGAGCCTTCTTCGGATTCAGTGTCTCCCTCTCTCTCTGCCCCTCCCCCACTCCTGCTCTGTCTCTCAAAAATAAATAAATGTTAGAACATATATTTTTAAATGCTGAATGGCTGTGGATCAGAGTTCTACGAGCACTGGTGTCCAACTCTTTCCAAAATACATGATTTAATTAGATCTGCTAGCCTTTAGGTCCATTCAAGCATCTGCTTCAGGTGGTGGGCAAAGAATGTTGGCTTCATTGCTCCAATCCAAGCACCTAGCAAGGGTTGGCTCCTGGTAGATTTTCAGTAAATTTTTACGTGTTGAATTCATGGCAATTCAATTGCCGTGAATTCAATTTTACGTGTTGAAATCAAAGCTTACTTCCTTTTCTGATATTACTGAAAAGAAGAATCTAAAAGTTTAAAGTCTGGTAACTACTTCAAATACTTTAAGGTTTCTTTTAAAATTAAATTATACCTGGAAGATATAAATAAATAAATAAATAAATAAATAAATAAATAAATATATAAATATATATATAGAAAAAATTTAAACATATTATATATAATAGAAACATATTATATATAAACATTATATTATATGTAAACATTATATTGTATATATTATTTATGTAAACATATATATACACACATATAAATTATATATGTGTAAATTATATATATATAAACATACATACACATATAAATATTATTACATTAGTAACAATCAAAAATTTAATTGAACTGTTATGATTAGGGGATTGGATTTCACACCCCTAATTTAATTTGCAGAATAGAATAATAGAATCTCATAGCTGGAAGAGTTCTGTGAGAATTCTAGCCTAAGAGGCATCCTTTAGAATTTGAAATTTCCCACCAAGGCAATCTAAGTGAATCATCCACAACTGATATACAACTGTTTTGAAATTTAAATACTTCCCAGTTTTATAGGCAAGCGTAGGTCTCCCAGAAAATTCCAGCTGCTCCACAGACAAAGCACCAGAATATGCTCTGGAAAGTAGGTACTCTGGTCAAAAGAAACTGAGGCTATTAGAATATGATCTTCTGCAGAGAAAGGGAGAAGGGAGCAGGGAGTTGGGTGGACATTCGCACTTCTCAGACCTGCGCAGCCCTGGTGGATTGTTGTCTGATCCCTAGCTCGATTCCCAAATTTTAAAGGCTGGTCAAATCCCAGTGAACTGCTATCAAATAAGTTGGGGTTTCATTTTCTTTTTCGTTTTTTTTTAATTAATGCATTTACTTTGAGAGATAGCAAGATTATGGGAGGGGCCTAGAGAGAGGGAGAGAGAGAACCCCAAATGGGTTCGATCTGAGCCAAAACCAGGAGTTGGACGCTTAACCCACTGAGCCACCCAGTTGCCCCTAAGTTGGGGTTTCAAGATAAGGTGGAGCTAAGACAGAAGATCCCAGAAATAATGTCATTCAGAGGAAAAAAAAAAAAGCTTACCTTTCTTGCTGCTCATTATATTTAACTTCTACTTCTTCCTCCTCATTTTTATTTATATTCTTCAGTCTCTGTCTTTTTTTACTAACTTCTCTCAGTCTTTCTCTTACCTTCTTCTTACTGGTGTCTTACGTCCCACTAGTAACTCACCAGAGCTATACCAATCTTCCTCTCGTGGATAATGTTGTCTGCATCAATTCCTTTAGCTGGTAAATTAACAAGTATAATTCAACTTTTTTCAACCAACTTTTGTTGAAGGTCAAGCAATTTTCTTAGTAATAGGCTACAGTTGTTGACCTCACTGACCTCAAAATCTGGCTTATGTTGGAGGAGGTCATCAGGAGAATGTGACTGCCAGTTGACTTGAGAGGTAGACTCAGGTAACAGAAGGTTCCTCGCCATCTTCCTTGTCTTGGAAATGAATGTCCCGCCTACAGTTCCTACACTAGCAGGACAGTGTACCTGTCTCAATGACGTAGTCTGGGGAGAGAAAGGTGTTGTTAGGGCCATCTGGACTGTATACAAGACTGAACCCATTAAGGCTCTTACATAAATTTTTAAGATTCGGAT